ATTCGTCCAATTGCACTGCGAGCCGTATCGGCTATTGGAAGAGCTTTGCCTGGGTTTCCAATCCTGGCTACTGGTGGAGCAGACAGTGCTGAGGCAGTGTTACAGTTCCTTCACTGTGGAGCGTCTGCAGTTCAGGTAGCCGGCTATGAAAATTGTTTCTCGCAAAATATCAAGGTGGCTTACTTCTGTTTTGTTTTTTGCACAATTACCTCACGCGCTAAGCTAGTCACGCAAGATCTCTTATAAGTATAGAAAACTCGCTTAAGCCAAACAAGGAAAACCCGAGATCAAACAATATGAAGCCCCTCCTAAATAAAATCCCTGTATTTCTGGGGCTAAGAAATGCATTTATAGCAAATGCTTTATATACTTTGGTTTTAAATTTAAATAAAACTGATTATCGTGGTTGCCGGGTTTAAGGAGGTTATAGCAAAAGGGTTAATTTTGGCACTAGCGTGAGCCTGCCACCTGTGTTGTTTTTGACAACTGAAAAGCGTTACGAACAAGTGGATAATGATCGATTTTGTTACTCTTTTAAGCTTTACCTGCAATATCTGTTAAATACGACTGTCGCTTTTGCAATGAAAACTCTTACTGCAGTGCGCTTGAAATGGAAGAGAAAAATGGAGATGAAAGGATTCGACTTTCGCGCCAACAAAGAACACAACAAAAAAAGAAAAGGTTCGGGTTTTCAATCAATTCTTTAAGTTATCATAATTAATCCTTAATTTGTGAGGTTTAAAAATTCCATGAATGGGAACGTAAACGTTTCTCCGATGCCGTGGCTTGGAGAAGAATAAACTTACGTCTTGTATTTCGGCCAAACCCAACAGTGACAGTACCCTGCGAGCATAGGCTATATTTTTGTGGTGTGTACTGACGTGCGCAAAGTAGCCCTCTTTTTTTTTTTCTAAGCTACTTTTTGCACGTCAGTTAACACAGCGTAAAGGTAGCCTACGCTTGCAGGGTAGTGTTTTAATCTCTGTACATATAGGCGATTATAGTGTTCATAACCAAAGACCTGTTTGCTTCCTTGTCAGATATCAAGTGCCGTTCAGAATCAGGATTTCACACTGATTGATGATTATACCACTGGACTGAAGTGTTTGCTTTATCTCCAATCTGTTCATGAGCTCTCAGACTGGAATGGGCAAAGTCCTCCTACTCCTAAACATCAAAAAGGCAAACTTGTTCCTAAAATCGCTGAACTTGTTGGAAAGGTATGTTTTCTTCATGCAATTTACTTCTGTTTAAAATTAGTCATATATTTGTGTTTTTAAGGTCGATAAATCATACCATGTTTTCTTGTTTCTAAAATATACAAATGACTCTCTTTTTTAATATCTGGCCCTGCATAATAAGGACCTCTTTAAGGCACAGAATTTTTCTAACCACGGGTGAATGATGGTACATCCTGTTTTTAGACATAAGATAAAAGAACCGCACTCAACTGATCTAGCTAATCTACAGGTGCTTCCCTCAAATGATTTTAACAAATCAGAACACAACTGGCAGCCTGTCAGGAGGCAAGCAGGGGTCAATTTAACTCGTTTTAATTAATTGTAATATTCTAGTGTAACTGTTGTTTTAGGGTCGGAGAGCAATAGCGACTCTCCTATATTAAGCATGTTAAAGCGCATTGAATTGAACCCAGGGCTAAATTGAACAAAACGTTTTCAAGCGTAGTGTACAAGAGATTACAGTCAAGCCAGGTCAAGCGTACCCCCAGGATTCCATTAATGAATTTATTATTCGAAAGTTGAATCCGTCGGTAGTTGTAGATTTCAGATTCATCTCTTGCATGCGTAATGAGCCGTGAATTCACGCGCGGGGCAATTACGACATTTCTACCAGCTCAGTTTTCCTGAATTTGATGTGAATGTCTTCTAAGAAAATTAATCCATTCAAAGATTTTTTTATCTTACCAGATACAGAGAAGTTCTCGTAAAATATTCACTGCTCATTATGTATGCAGGAATGCCGATTTGAATTTGACACTAGTTACGGGAACGACTAACGGATTCATTTTTCAAGTAATCAAATGAATTCATTAATAGAATCTTGGGGGGTACGCTTCACCTGCCTTGACTGGAACGGGAAGGGAGAATGATTATAAAAGTCAAGGAGGCAATGCCTCTTTTTTGTCCAAACTCCTAACATTTTGCCTTGTGCGCATACCTGAACTTACCGAATACATGAATATACTGAATATATGTGTGTTTTTCTTGCAGTCTCTGCCCAGTTTTGGACCATACCTTAAGGAACGAGAAAGTATTGTGGCAAAGCATAAAGAGAAGATCGATTTGCTGAGTGAAAAATTTGAGCCAGAGAAGGTCAGACCTGCCTATAAACCAGACAAGGCGGCTCCGCTTATTAAGGTAATACAAAGTAATGTAGGTATCGTAGCAGACTCACGAGAAATTAATGTTGCAAACAAGAACGGAGGGGAGAGTAGGATGCGCATGTCCTCCTCTCTCGCGCGTCTTGTATAACTTGCACCTAACATTTCTATGTGCCTGCCACACAGGCTAAAATAATCAAGTTACATCGCTCATTAAGTGTATCACCTAGTAATACCAAATGGCCTTCTAAGCTTACCTGTCATGAAGCACATTATGATTTGTAATGATATAAAAGTATTGTAAATCTGTGATTAAATTTATGTTTAGATTCTAAGACGTGTACGACAACGAGTACGAGATTTTCTCAGCACTAAATAGCGCTTGCGCGTGAACCAGCATCATTTTGGCGGGAAAACATGGTAGCCGTCGTCAGTCTTCTACGAGTCTTAGCGAGAATAGGGACCTTACGAAACAACGACGGCGACGGCAACGGGAACGTCAAAAAAGCAAAAATTTAATGAGCAAAACAACAACTCTGACGTGCATCCCACTTTTTTGTACATTTCCTCGCCGTCTCTGCATAACTGCAACGTGAAATGACTAAATTTTGAGTTGACTTGAGAACGGGAACGGCAAGGCGATAAATTTTATTTTCTCTCTCTAAACTCGGACGCAGTCCTCTCTCTTCGGTTCCAACCTAACTTCCCTCCTTTCAAGTAACTGGGTGACTTGGTAAAAGGGCGAAAAGGTTTTAAAGGACGCGAAGTCTATTTGGCAGCAACGTTTTCATTGGCGCCGCCGTTGTTGGTTCGTAAGGTCCCTAATGTCGAAGTGGCGTAAATAAGTTATCAAATGTTAGAAGTTTTATCATTTTGCGATCGGGGGCCAGAGGGTGTACCCTCCTTCACCAAAGGTAACAGTGCTAAATTTTCTAATGAAAAATGGTAAAATGAAGCTTTCCGGGGAGTCTATATTTTGAGAATACGCGAAAAAAACTTGAAGTCAAATCTCGTACTCATAGTCGTCCTCGAATCTAAAGCTCTCTATTCACTTCTTTTAAATCATGTTAATAGGATGTCATTGGTGCAGCCCTGAGTCGTATTGGAACTTATGGTGACTTGGATAACAGGCAGCAAGTTGTGGCTTTGATTGATGAAGACTTGTGCATTAACTGCGGCAAGTGCTACATGACCTGTAATGACTGTGGTTATCAAGCCATTACCTTTGATGCCAATACCCACCTGCCTCATGTGACTGAGGACTGTACTGGATGTACTTTGTGCTTTTCAGTTTGTCCTGTTATTGGTTAGTAGTATGAAATGCCCAGTGTGAATCAGTCAGTCAATCCTCTTAATGGATCCTTCCTATGTTGTGCACTAAAATCGGTCCCTATCATTTTTCAGTATTTTTTGTTGTCTTTCTATAAGGTGGACAGTTCTCAAGAGGGAGACTTAGGGTGCTTTTCATCTAGACAAATTTAGCTTTGAACGTGAATGAAGAATTGTTTTTCTTCCTATTGGAAACTTCCGGGAGAAAAGGAAAAAAAATACTATTCCATCGACACATTTCTCGTGTTCTATGCCAGTTAGAAGCCCACGGCTATAAATTGACTCGACAGTTTCGTAAGCAAAATGGTCTCCAATGGTATTGTGTACAAATGATCATTGCATTCATTTCTCTTTCTTATCGGTTGAATACAACAGAAAATTTAATGGAAGTGCAAACTGCTAATAACCTTCCTTTGGAATTTGTGTAATCATATTTAAGTTATCTTATTATATTGAGGTTGCCTGTGCTTTCATGGCGATCTTCAGCTGTTGTTATCCAATGCTGTGCTTTCTTCTGGGGACCAGACGATATATGTGACAAAATGGATGAAAAATTTCCCAGACAAATTCCGGCTGAAATTGCCCGAATTTTCTTCTAGATCGAAAGCGCCCTTACTGTCGTGTCAGTCCTAATCATTCCTTTGGCAAATCCGTTTGTAGTCCTAATGATATGATCATGGTCGAAAACCCTATTCAAGCTCTATTGTTTTGCAATATAGGGATTTAAAATTACGTTTATGGCAAGCGGCAAACTCAACTTAGGAAATGGGTGGATTTATAACTGTAGAAGCTAATTCTTATGGATGAAACTAGTCTGAAACTACCCATTTCCGGGTAGATAAAGTGAATAGTGAACAACGTGTACGACAAAACCTGTTCATGGGGTAGCAGTACAAATGGATGTCTTCTGTTTGCCGTAAACGTGATTCTAAATCTCCGTTTAGCCTAACTTAGTAGTTAACAGGGATCATCGGTAAGTTATTTGATTTAGACCACTTAATCAAACAGTGTGGGATTATTATTAAAGAAATAAGTAGGAGATGGAACTCTGCAGTTCGCCCTGTCATCAATCTGTCATCAGCCAGACTATTCTCAAAACCATGCTCGAGACAAACTGAGGAGAGCTTATGGTGGTTAATAAAGTTCTGAGGCAGTGAAATCCAGGGTGCCCGGCATACGCATTTTCTGCGAAAACTTGAAGACTTCCATGTTACCCAAGGGCAAAAAATGAGAACATCAAGCCCTGTTAGAGTACAGCACTGAGTACTTCGACTTTGAGTTTCTTCACCTTTTATTTGCTGGTGGGGAGCAATGGTGTTACATTGGTGAGAGCGCTTTCCTCCTACCAATTTGGTCTGGGTTCATATCCCGGCGTCGATGCCTTGTGTGGCTGGGTTGAATTTATTAATGGTTCTCTCCCCCGCGTCGAGAGGTTTTTCTTCTTAGGATTTCCCCTCTCCTCAACTGACACCAATTTTTTATTCCAATTCAACCAGGAATGGTAGAGAAAGAACCTTTCCGTGAATGTGAATGTGCTATTGCGTAATCGTTTTTTAGTTATTTTTTTTTGTTGCCTTGTAGATTGTATCAAGATGGTACCAAGGGAGGGACCATACAAGCCCAGCCGTGGGGTCCCGCTTGCTGTCAAAGCTGAGGCGTAAGCTAATGACCTGTTATCTTCTGCATTGTTGTGGGGGGAGGGGTTTTGTGATTCACATGATCATGAAAACCAAGACGTTACTTTATTCTCTGTAATGATCTGGGTGTTTCAAACTGGTGGTTAAAAAGATTATGATCAACACTTCATGTAAATTAATATATAATAATGATTACATAATTACCGGTATATTTTAATCAATCGTGATAATGTTTTACATAATTCTCCTCAAACAACAATATACACTATCCAATGTACACAAGCAAGTCTCAATCTAAAAATTATTATTTAATGTGAGAAATGTGATGGAGAGGTTCTTGTGTGACGTAAGGCAAGGTGAACACAGTGTGTATTGGGCATCAGTACAAACCCGTATGTACCTAGATCTCTTGTTCTTCTATGTGATACTCAGAAATATTTCTTTATTGGATGTGATCGTAGTTACTGACAGGGTTTTACTGCATATCTAATGCATTCGTATTTTTCTAGTTGATATTTATGGATTGACTGGATTTATGTAGAAATTTTTTTAGTGGTAAATTTTTAGCCTATTAAATGTACTTACCCAGGAGGTCATGTCAATTTATTTTTGTAATGATAAGGTGCAGTGAGTAAATAAAGTGCATGTTTTAGAGTTTACTGTCAATTTCTTTTAAAATACTTGTTTTAGCCGTAAAATTAAGGAGTTCAGAATTTATAAATTTTGTTCAGCACAGCAGCATCCACACGTTACATCCATACATTACTCTTGTTTTAATCTCTCTATAGAAACTTTTTCCACAAGGGAAATGGCTACCAAAATGAATAAGAAATACAACTGTCTCGCGATTGACCTGCACCCATTCAAACCTGTTATTTCATTGGTCCCTATAACCTGCACTACCTATTGTTTTCAGGGATAGGGCCATTGTTATATCACCATCCCTATTGTTTTCCCAGCCAATCACAAACCTTTGTTTGGAATAGATGCAGGTCGGCTCCTGTCCCGCCCTATCTCTCCCCAGTCCTCACTCTTTATTGTTTGGCTCTTCCGGACTATTAAACTGTCGGTGTGGCAGGCTAAACGCTGATATAAAATACTAATAACTGTACGTAGTATACCTGCTTTAACATTTTTATTCTGAAACTTTGTTCTATTTTGTTGACATATTTCATTGTGTTACATTAATTCAATTAATAAGTGAGAAAAAACATTTTATTAAAAATGAAAATGTTCTACCCACCCCTACCGAAAGAACTGGTTTGATATTACGCGGTACGGCAAACTCACCAACGTGGCCATCGTAGTACAGAGCAGTTAAACTGTGTTGATCGGTCATTGAAAGGATAAAGGCAGAAAAAAATCAGTTGCATTTGGCTTGACAGTACCCATCTTAATGAGCAGTTTGGCTGTTTCCAGGGGCGTACGCACGTATGCTTTTTCTCACCCTTCTTGTTATAGTGCAAAATCATAGTTGTTTACCATTTACAAGGGCAAACTGGTCGGTGCACAGTTTGGGCAAATAGTACGCAAAATTCAGGACTGGCAATTTTCTTCCTGAAATAGCGTTTACCATTAACTTTGTACAGATCAGTTGCATTTATCGCAAAAATCTGAGACTGGTATAAAAGATGGCTTTAAAGAAATAGAACATGAATTCAGTTCCGTTTGGAACATTCTGTCTGGAAAAACATGATTACCTTTTCAGATGTTCTGTTGCCCGTGGAAAGGTTTCTTTGAAACGACCCAAAAAGTCTTGTTCCATTCACTTTCCAACCGATTTTTCCGGAAGCTTTTTGTAAGTGGTCAACAACCCATGTCTCTGAATTCGCGTTGGACACTGACATGGCAAGGGGAAAAATAAGCACAGTGGCGACTTTCCCAGTTGTAAAGTCTTCAACTGTTTTTAGTGTGTCTTCTTAGTTGTCAAAGGCAGGGGAATCGTTTCAATGCAGAATAAACATAGTCAACCAGAAATTGACACTTTTTTATGTTCGCAGCCGAATAAAAAAACATAAGTAAAAACGAGATGGGTCAGCGACAGATTCAGTGTTCACTGTTCAGTGTTCACGGTATAGCTCTTGCCCTACACAAGAACCCATACTGGATATTCCCTCTGTTAACACATAAGAATGATGATTTCAGCACGATTTCTGTAACAGAGCTTAACTACGCCATTAGGTGGAATCATTCTTTGTCGCGTGCGATTATTTTACATGATCTTATTATAACCCAAATTTTTGTTAAGCCCGAGCTTAATGGCTTAAAGGCAGCTACGCCACTGGTTTTATTCTTTACACAAAGTGGTTGAATGGAACGTTGTGATTAAATGTGTGCATTGCATTTTTAAACAAGGAGGAAAGGGAAATGCTAAATTCTCAAGAAATAAGCAATCCCATGACATTTTGTTGTTTCAAAAATCGGACAAACAAGGTGTACTTATTCAAGACAGGCTGTTGAAGGAATAGTACGGTTTACATCAGTAACGAAAGACTACCCTCCACAGCCACCTTTTAGCATTCTTTCTTCTTGTCCTCCATACAGGCATATCATGATCATTTACGGAAACTGGGTTCATATGAAAGCTTACAAAACAAATGGAAAGGCAATGCATTTCCGGTTAAAAAAGGTCGAAAGTAGGCAAGTTGTCAAACATAACTATCATTTCCGTGCCTGATTTGACAACACAAACACAAACCAAAGATCATCCCCATTATTTGTATGACAGCAATCCAGATTCCAAATCCACTAATCACATGAAGGTTGTTTAACAAATATTTTCGAACAAAATCATAGCATCCTTTAGTGTAAATTTTTGTAAAGTCTTGAGTTACATTCTTGTTACATGTATCATCTTTGGGGTCTTTGCAACAACTCTTTGGAACAGATCCCTTGTTATTTCTTCCCCATTTGGTGTTGAACCAGTCCTTATATTTATCATTTCCACAACACTTGAAACTTGCCTGAATTTCGTCGATTGCTCTGGTGACAGACTCGTAATCATGGTCTTTGTATCTGTTAAGAGTGTCTTTTATGTCTCCCCGCAAGTTTTTCTCGATTTGTTCTCTGTAAACGTAAGTGAGAACAATGGCTGTGATCTCTAGAACAAAAATAAGTGTAATAAATCCAAAGTAAGACCCCAGCATGCACTGGCTTTCTTTGATTGCTCCGCAACAGGCCAAGAAAGCTACTACAATGGTCACTACTCCGATGACAACACACAGAATCGGTGCAGCCTTGTAATTAACTGATCCTGTAAGCTTGGTGTAGTCTCCCGCTACTTCTTCCTTGTTGCTGAGCAGCCATATGCCGAGACAGAACAGAGTACAGCCAGCAAGCCAAAATAACAAATTGAAGAAAACAACCAAGATTTTCAAGCACTTATATCCACAATCCCCTGACATGTTTGCGCCTGTGAAGTGATCTCTTACGAACAAATAATCGTGAGATCGTCCTATTACTCTTGAGAGCGATAATCCTCCATTCCCATGAAGCAGAAAATCATTACAATACCGCTTAATTTTTGTCTCGTCTAGTGGCTTCGCCAAAACAGTATTTTTTCAGTTCAAATAATTAAAAGGGGAATTCTGTACTCCGTCTGAGTTATAATATACCCTCCGTTTTTCCTGATGAATATAACAAACAAGCGCGTTGAATTGCGGACCAAGGGACCTTCTCTTGTTTTTTAGGAGCAATCGCGGTTAAAATCAGTGTTGCTCCGACGACCTGAGAAAGAACCTTTTAAACCAGTCAATTTTGGGGGTTGTAAAATCAAAAGGGAAGACTAGCCGTTCCACTTTGGCTTCGAAGCAATTTAACAACATTAACGCTTGGTTAGCGCAGAACATGGTCGAATAAGGACCATCAATAATTAAACGAATACAACGTGTCGAACACCCTCAAAACCTAAAACAACACCACCTGCATATGTGACAGAAATTCAACGACTAGACGCTTCAAGTTACGCAACAAAAGGGCTTCTTGTAAAAAGATACGTTTTAAACCTATTTCTGTGGTTTAAGTGGCAAAGTTGCTTTGCCTCACCACACCAAAATTACGAGCTTTCGTCCGCCATAACGGAAGGTGCGAAAGTGCTGGGTACGAGTATTGTTTCCAGTCCTCTCGCATTCTCTCCATCAAAATGGCGGCAATATTGCTTCAGTTGTGTATGTTTGCCTTGGTGATGAGGAATGGCGCTTTTGCCAGTAACAACTTTGCCAATTTGTGTAAGTTCAGATCATTTGGTTAGTTAAAAGTATATGGCAAACAAGGGAGCCATCTTTGTTGGGTATGTCCTTTTGTAACTGGTCGTAATTTTGCTCTTATTGCAACTTGACAGCTTCTTCTGCAGGGAAATGGAATGTTAGTGCAATTGACGAGTTAATGGTTTCTAAAGAGGATCTTGAAAAGCAAGTGAAAAATTACACAGCAAAGTGGCCTTTTTGCGTGTTTTACAGAGATACACGTAAGTTAATTTCTGTCCACCGATTACATTAAATCGTAGGCTAAGTTAACAATGTTTTGGTGCTAGGGGGTGTAGGGGTGGGGGCGTGGGGAGCTGGACATTGGAGTTGGAGTTGGGTACGGGAGAAGTGCTTCTCAGGGTTTTAGGAGTAGCTTCGAATGGGGTGATAAATTAAAATCCGGGAAAATTCTCAGGCAGGGATTGACTGAGGCATAAGAAAACACCTCATACCCAAGCAATCTACTAAAATCTGTTTTGGAAAAATAAGCTTCCCTTCGTGCTTGAGCTTTTCCCATTCTTAATCTGAAAAAAATGTTTTCCCATTATGTTTGGTCACAAGAATAATAATAGCCCCCCTCTGATGGAAACATTTAAAATAATCGTCTCCCTCGAATAATCGGCCCCCACTCTACACACCACTATGGGCGCGATCCATTCAACCAAACTTTCCGGAAATTTCGGTCCAAAACCCAATGGATCGGTTCGGTCCAACCGGAAAAGTTTCGAAAAAACGGGTCCACCTTTTGAGGTGGTCCTCTTTTCCCGGTCGGACCGGTTGGAATTTTGGTTGAATGGATCGCGCCCTATATGTCCCCCGCTATCGATACCCATAGTGCTAAATCTGAAGGATGATCCACATGGTCTTGCAAAACTGATCAGTGATGTAGCCGAGGATATTGATTATGAAAATAAATCAAGGAACCAAATTTGGAACACTTAAAAAGCCCATGTTCAGTTTCTTTGAAGAGATTATTTTTTGATTTAATGGGAAAATAGAACAAAACATTTAGGGCACGACTTCCACAACTTATAATTATATGAAATAATCGCCTCCCTCAAATAATTGCCTTCCCTCAAATATTCGCCCCCTTTTGGTGCAAAAATAATAAATAATCGTTCCCGGCCATTATTTGAGGAAATATGGTAATTTTAATATTTCTTTTTTTCAGAAACTCGTTCTTCCAAGCTGGAGGAGTGTCTTATTAAGTTCCTTAATAGTTTGCCTGCCAACAACTTTTTACAGAACTGGACAATTGTGACATTCAACCTTAATAAGGTATGTTGTGTGATATCGAAGATGATAGTTAGAGTGATTTTACTTGAAACTGTGAAACAAATACTAACAAATACTGAAAAATAGCAAGAAGTAAACAAAAGAAGACAATGGAATTAGTGCATAATAGTCTGAAGTACTTATTCTATTACATGTACCTATTTCATGGGTCAAGTAAAATCACTCTGTGATGGTCATGGTAAAATTTAAGTCACCAAAATAAGTAGTAACATTTNAATAACCCCCCCCCCCCCTCACACCACTATATGTCGCCCGCTATCGATACCCATAGTGGTAAATCTGGAGGATGATCCACATGATCTTGTAAAACTGATCAGTGATGTTGCCGAGGATATTGACAATGATAATTAATCAAGGGACCAAATTTGGGACACTGAAAAAGCCCATGTTCAGTTTCTTTGATGAGATTATTTGTTTATTTAATGGGAAAATAGAACAAAACATTTAGGGCACGACTTCCACAACTTATATATGAAATAATCGCCTCCCTCAAATAATTGCCTTCCCTCGAATATTCGCCCCCTTTTGGTGCAAAAAAAGAAATAATCACCCCCGGCTATTATTTGAGGAAATATGGTAATTTTAATTTCTTTTTTTAGAAACTCGTTCTTCCCAGCTGGAGGAGTGTCTTATTAAGTTCCTTAATACTTTGCCTGCCAACAACTTTTTACAAAACTGGACAATTGTGACATTCAACCTTAATAAGGTAAGTTGTGTGATATCGAAGATGATAGTTAGAGTGATTTTACTTGAAACTGTGAAACAAATACTAACAAATACTGAAAAATAGCAAGAAGAAAACAAAAGATGACAATGGAATTCTTGCATAATAGTGTGTAGTATTCTATTTCATGTACCTATTTCATGGGTCAAGTAAAATCACTCTATGATGGTCATGGTAAAATTAGTCACCAAAATATGTAGTAACATTTGGATGTAAAGGGAAGTTCTTCAAAGGAACTCGTGATTTTATACATTAGTAGAGCAGAAACTTTAAAGTGTAAATATTAGAAAATAAATTAGAAAATATCTGTCTCTTCGAAATAATAAAAAAAACATGGAAACTTCTTTAAAAAATGGCTTTGCCCCAATTTCTCTTGCTGCCCAAAAAATCTGAGTTTCCCAAAATTTTTGTGGGGAGAGGGCTGTGCCTCCCACCCCCCCTCCCCCAAAGCCAGTACACCTATGGGAATCATGCATCGGAGCACAATGATGCTGATACGTCCATCCCAGTTTGTACATCTACTATAATGACCTGATTCTTGCTAACCTGCGATCAGGCTTTCCTTCTTTCCTTTTTGTTTAGAAGGCCAGAGGGGAAAAGGATTCCTGATACATTTACTTTGCACGTCATCTGCCTGTAGCCCTAAATCTATCCTTTTGTCTGATTTGTGGAAACACAAAAGACCCTTCGAAGCCCTGCACCGATTGGCTGTTACATGTCCCCATATTTTGCAATTTTAGTCTAGATGTATTGAGCTCATTGATCAGCCTTTGCTTCATTTTATTGAAATCTATTATAATAATTATAATCAGCCTAAAGTACCGCTATGAGTACAATGAATTTATGAAGTCAATTATTCCTTTCTTTTTGTAGGGAATGTTAGTATGGGAAGGTCACCCTGGAAAAGTTCCTATTCTACACTGTCACATATGGACAGCTGAATCACCTTTGATTTATCCATCACCTAACCACCCTCACATTAAAATCAGTTCACTGCATTCTTGGTTTAAATATGTGGTATGTTATAATAACGCAAAAGAGACTGGTGGACAGAAGAAGGGGGTGGGTGTATTTAGAATCAGAGAGAGATTGGTGTGCATATGTGTTCTGTTTATTCTGCTACAACAATTGTGAATTCTTTCTGCTTGTTGCGTGGCTGGCTTCTGATTTTATTTTATAGGCTTAGTCTAAAATACATGTAAGGAATGAGTAATGGCACAATTAATAAAATAATGTAGTGTACTATAAATCAAAACGCGCCAGGACTTCAGAGAACAGAAAAGGTCCTAGATGCGAACAAGATATCCCAGGTGCCTTACCTTTCTAATATGGATTGTGGTTAAAGCTGAGATCTGCATTGTCATTGTTTGAAAAACTTTGTTTTTCAAGTAAAATTTCCCCATTTCATTTTTAACTTCATTACCACACCTGTAGCAGGTTTACATGCATCTAGTTTATGACTTATGGCCTACTGTATAATTTTTTTATGCACCAGTGTCAGGGACTGTTGAATATCCAACTGAAGAGAGTTGTTTAGATCTCTTTAAACATGCTGTTGATAGCAGAAGGAGGTGCACGGATCAAAATCTTCTTTGTCCCCCCTTGCACTTTAGTGAAAGTGGTATACCACCTGACTAGGATACACGTGTGAGAAGTCTCACATGACTATAAGCACCTCTCTGGTCCTCAAACATCATGCTTGTGCTGCCTTTCTTTTGCTTTTCTCTTTGTTCACTTTCTATTCTTTTCCATAGTTTGAATTAGGATAATTTAATTTACTGACTATTATTGTATTGTTACCCACTGATAATAGCCTTGCTAATTGTGGGTAACTTACATAATTTGTTAACTATTTTTAATTGAAAAATTGTTGTTGATCGTTGTTGTTGTGAAGATTCCCGTAGAGCTCACCACAGAAGCATAGTGGAGTCTGACATTTTCCTCAGTTGCTAGATTCTGATCATGACCTGCTGGCTCCAGCACAGACTGTAATCACTGCTATTAAACTGCTAGATTCAAAGTCATTGAGGCTAAAGCCTCAAGGAAGCTCTTTCTTTCTTTAAACATATGGTACATATTACTATAATAAAGGTCAGCAGCGTCTGGTGGAAGTTGGTGAGTATAATCAGGAGACCCAGTTACCATGTTCCTTGATGCTACTCAAAGCATAAGCTGCATGCACATGCATGACACACCCATCCAGCTTAGACCATGTCAGCCAAGCTCTTGGGACCTAAGGATAGACAGACTCCTTTTTTGCTCAATATGAAAGTAGTTGGTTGGAGACCAGCAGGTCTGGGATTTCAGCCTGCAGGCTGCTATACTACAACTCATTCTTGAACGGATGAAAGATGCTAAATTTTAAGCTCGGTGAAACAAATGTGAAAGTGAAATGATCAGCATGTCATGACCGTGGGACAGAGAAAATATTTAAGTCCCCTTCCTTGTTTGCGGCCATAATTACATCAATCTGTGGCAAAAAAGTTGTCACAAGTAATGTAAAATTTGACAACCAGTCACTCCAAACAGGTGATCCTTGGCCTCTTCCAATAATTTTCATCAGGACAGTAGGAACACTCTCATGTCATGTCAGCCCTCCTGTGTTCTGCTCCTGACATACCTGAATCCTCATTTGTCCCCACTGGCTGACATTGGCACTCAAGTCAGGGTCTGTTAGCAAGTAGGGTTCTCCTGGAACATCTGTTCTCAGGTCCAGCCGGACATTGTACTACAAGGAAGCCCTTTCCAGCCAAGCAAAAGTGTCCCCCAACTGGCTGTGTTCATGACGAGATACTTCCATCAGCAATAATTGAGGAAACACATGTATATGCCATGTCAAGGGTGAACAGTCAAGGCAACCTAGCTCATTAATGAACTGGAGCTGCTGACTGTTCAGAGGGCCACCCACCACTTCTTCCATCTTGTCAGAGGGGACGTGGTTTGTGGTTTGCTTGGCTTTTTGTTGATTATGGGTTAGTCATCAGGACTTGATGTCTGACATTCTGAAGAACCCCTTGTAATACCCTGTGATCAGCCATGACACTGGTGCCCCTCTAAAAACCCTCCTGCAGCCATGATGGATCATGAGTTTTCAAATGATGTACAGTGTATTATTCAAAAGTCATCTTTGCTGTAGTGGAAGGAAGTAATAAGAGTAGAAATAGCAGTAATAGCCTGCGTGGCAGGCGAAAAAGGGGAGGGGAGGGGGAGAAAAGCATGAAAGAGGGGAAAGGAAAGGGAAGGGAGCGGCTGCCATAAGAGCCGGTGTTTTTGTAATCAGCCTGGCACCATTTTCTGAACTAATCCAATAATGTCACTGTCAATACGTGACCAATCACAAGTACGGGACTTCTCAGCATGGTCCGAACTTAATTACTTTGTTAACCGGAAATTGTCTAGTTGAGACGCTTTTTTCAAGTGATATCATAATCGAGCGAAATGAAACATTTTTACTGTTCTTGCTCCCGCAGCAAACACGACAAACAGACTACGACCAGTCTCTCATTTTTTTACTGCTCACAGTCTTCGACAAACAATGATCAGTCTCGTGTGAATACACAACACCTTTTATCTTACAACCTCATCAAGCACCGTGATGGTCACAAAGAACAGAACATTGGCCAGCCTGAGACGTGAATAATGAAAGCAATGGAGAATTATAAACAATTGTCAAGATGTTTAATGGATAGTTTTTACCAAAGCTTCAGCACTCTCTTTGCAAACCATCTAAAACTCCATTCAAGACGGTATATGTTTTTGCAGAAAAGGAGGTCTTTTGAATATCGGCATTGCAGATGTCTGGCAAGAATCGCAATTGCTTTGAATCGCTGCTCAGTGTATGGACAAATCCAGTATACAAAACCTCCTGAGCATCTCTTCCTGCTAAACAAGTTGTTACAGTTGGTTTTAGTTCAGGTTTTAACGTGAAGTTGCTACATGATTGGAGTAATTTTGATCTTCCAAGGCTTATGCCAGTAGAACCCATTTTCTTGATGCCTTCGTCATGTCTGTTGCTCACACTAATACATGCCAGGATACACGCCAATAAGTTACTCATTCTGGCTCAGCCAATCAGGAATTTGCGGACGCCAGTGTCCGCAGCAATGGAAAAAAGGGGGTTCTTATAGCAGGCGTCCCTTCCCCTCTCTCCCCAATCCCCCTCCCTTTTTCCTTTTCTCCCTATCCCCTACCCCTTTTGACGCTGGCTACGCAGGCTATAGCGGTAACAGCAGCTGCTCTACACCCTGTAGCAATAGTAGTGATAGCGATAGTTGCTGTGGTAGTGATATAGTGCACAAGAATGTGGTGCTATAGAATTTACTAAAAGATGTCAATAGTGAACATTTATTTTGCTTTTCTTTTGACAGGGAAAGTTGTTTGCCAAGAGAGTGCCCGTGCTTGTTTATGGTCAACTATCTAAGGAAATTAACAGCCATGAGGGGTATACTCTGGTTGGAATTCCTGGTCATTTGCATCACAGAACATTAGAAGATACTCTCATCAAGGTTATAATAAAAGAAAATTCTGCAATCTGAGTGGCCAAAATTCTATCTATTGTGTGGTAGATAGTGAGTAGCAAGTCAACAATTTTGCACAAAAACAAAACAATGGCAAGTTCTTCAAAAAATCATTGATTTTTTGCAATGTTTATGATGAAGGAATAGCTAAAAAAAAAGATGCTATGTCTGAAGAAAAAACTAAAGCAGCCAAAAAATACAAAATGACTTTGAATTTTTTAATTGTAAAATTTTAGTAGTTTCTTTGTAAAAAAACAAAGAGATCTTCAAACAAAGGCTTTTTTACAATATTTATCAAAACTCAGGAAAGCAAGAGAAAATGATTGTCCTCAAAACATTAGTCCCAATGGTGAGCACATTTCAGAAATTAATAATTCTCTGCATCTGCCCCTGTACAAAATGCATTCCATATCATCTTGTGCTAAACACTCACTGCTAGGCACTGTTTCTCTGGGTATGTTTCAGGGCATCTTAATGCAATGATGGGACAAAAGACCTGTGGCAAAGAGCACCTTGATTTAGTGTGTAGAATGGCTCAGCGGCAGTTGCCTACCTGAATAACACTGTGACTGCAGTCACTCAAGACTAGTGCTTGATACTTGTAACATCCTTTAGGAGCTTGTTTAAGTAGCCATAACACCAAAACATCCACATTCTGGATGTTTTCAGTAGTTTTGTATGTATGTTAGCAGTCCTGATCGTAATTGGCTCACTGCAATTAGAGGAATGGCTCCCTTGCCCATAGGTTTTTTGTCAAACATTAAGGTTATTATAAGAAGACAGAACTCCAGATGAAAAGCCTTTGGCAGCTAGGGTAAGGCATTGTTCATGTAACGACTTGTAGATGCATCTACAAACTAAAAATATCCAAGTAAATAATTATGTTTCATATATTGTCAATTGATTACATTTGACATCCTAATTTTGATAATCCCTGGTTTTATAGGTGACTAAAAGATGGAAGAAAGCAGTCATAAAACCTTCCATTGCCATCCCTTTTAGTGACGATGAGAAGTAAGTATCCTGTATATAATGTTTAATAGCTACATGAATTTTGCGACTTAAGAACATTGTCTTCCTTGTTTGTAATAATATTCAGTATTTTTCCCACAATAATGTCGAAATGTCGAATGAATTAACACTGTGTGGCTTTACCTGAATTTGTTTTTTATCATTAAACAATTCTTTCCCAATAGTAATAATAATAATGTCAACTAAAAATAATAATGATAATTCTAATAAAGGAGGTTTTAGAAAAACAATTGAGAATAAAAATTAGTGATAGCGATGAATGATGTTTCGATGACTCCATGTCATCATTTTCAAATTTGTGCAGTTCTTAATTCCATCAGTTAAATTGATGACATTGCTATCACTAATTTTTATCCTCAATTTGCACAGGCTTCAAGGAAATGCAATGGCATACGCATATGCATTCTACAATACATTCCATTAACAAGGCTGAAGAAACCCGCAAGATTTATGGACGTATACGAAACATACAAATGTAGACCCACAGTCCTTGGACCTCCCCTTTGGACCTAGTCCATGGACTTCTTCGTGGACCCAGTCCATGGGCTACCCCTGTGGACCTCCCCTAATTTTCGAAGATAAATTTTACCAGAGATCTAAATGGATATTTAAGCACCTTAAACGGCTGTTAAGTTATGAGCTCCTTTTATTATACCACTGTTCAAATTTTCTTAAATTCCATATGTTGGTTTGGTTTGGTTTGGTGAAGGAGTGATAATATTGTAGTAGGGAGGAAGTAGTCTCCTACACAGATGATTTTTTTTGTGCCATCACATTGTATACCCCCGCCAAACTTTGTTTTATCATTGGCAAACTTATTGAATCCTGCTTATGGATCAAGCTGAAAATGATCTGCATATAACTGTAGTTATGTCTGTGGAGCTTGTCAGATGTCTGACCAATACTGTTTGAAAATAATTATGCAGATCATTTTGTAAATAAACATACATGCATCCAAGGGTTATCAAGGGAAGGGAAGTCTGAGGAGGGTATTCAAACATCATGCGTTACCTCTTCCTCCCTAGTCCCCTATGCATGCGTTTTTGTGTCGTCACACAATGCGTGTAAAGTTGCTAGGAGTCCACTTCCTCTTTACATCTCCTCTTATTCCCTTCAAATATTGTTAGTTTTTTAGCAGACTAAACCAGACCCATCTCATTGATATGGAATTCAGAAAAAATTTGAACGAATGTGTATTATGAGAACCCATAATCCTGATAATGTATATAATTTGACACACTTTCATTCATTTATTTTAAGGTTCTTAAATGAGACCTCTAGTAAAAGTTCATCTTCAAAATTAGGAGTGGTCCACTGGGGTATTCCATGGACTGGGTCCATGAAGGGGTCCATAGACTAGGTCCACAGGGATAGTCCATGGACCAGAGGTCAATGTTTTGTATACATCCCAGATGTATAATATCTTTCAGTTAATTTACAGATCCAACTTTCATGCATTTTAACTTTTTATTTGTAGATTTATGATGCAGACATTTAATGTCACTTGGCAGCCTGCTGTTATAGTTTTTAATTCTCAAGGTGAGTGTGAAGAAAGTGCTTATTTTTAGGGTGTGGTGGCCGTGGGGCGCTTCCTTTACGGTCCTAATATTTTCAGGTTAGCCTTAATAACTTTGAAAATGATACAACTGTATTTATGATAGGTTATATAAAATACCGTAAAATTCCGAAAATAAGCCTCGGGGCTAATATTTTTCAAGGGCCCTTTTTGAGGGGCTTATTTTTCAGAGGGGCTAATATTCGGAGGGGCTTATCCACGGAGGGAAATTTGCGTTTCAAAATCGATTGGGCTAGCCGTATAGTTGGAAGGAAATTTGCCGTTTTTGCTTTGTTATACTTTGTATTTGCGGGCAATTTTCCGAGTACAAGCCCCCGGGGGGGCTTATTTTTGGAGGGGCGATTAAACAGAGGGTTTTTTGCATTTCCGGTTTGGGGAGCTTATACATGGAGGGGCTTATTTTCGGAATTTTACAGTATATGGGCAGACATTGAGAGGAATTTAATTGCACTTTTGTCAGTCCTATGAAAGCTTGATTTGCAATTTATTACACATGTACATCTGATTGCCTGATAATGTTTCAACTTCTTCATTTTAGGTGAAGTTCTCTTTAAGCCTCTGGTTTTAAAGGTTGTGTTATATCTTTAAAATAAAATTTTGATACTGTATATAGGGAAATTGTTCCAAGATTTTGTTAATTTACAGTTTTTTAATAAATCAACAAAATGGTATGGATGTTAATTATAACTACTTCCTTTCCTTAGAATGGAAAGAAACAAAGAGACCATTAAAAGTACTCCATGGTATCCATGAAGTGGAAGAAATGAGAGTTCAGATTCTCTTGGTCACACTACACAGCCAAACTAACCACTTAAACCTGGTCAGTATACATTTAGTTAAAGGGCCATAGGTGCAAAACTAATAATACACAGTGACTTGCCAAAACATTGGAGATGTTTCGGGTGGAGTTATTTTGCAATGGCAGACCTTAAAATAAGGTTATTAAGCCAAATATAAAACGGTGTGTCCAAGAGCCAAACTCGTCCTAATAGCAAATAAGGTCTCCCTGCCTAGTTCATTCATTTCACTTATTCCAAAGTACAACAATAACAATAATTATCACATAGCATATATACACACACGGACACACACCTATACATACATGCAATTATACAATCGTTACATCAGCTTATTCAGTTTATTATGATGCTATGCTTCCTGGACCATAAGCATAGACCTTAGACAAGAAGCAGATTGACGGTCCTTCCAGGAAAGTGAATCTGCTTATGGCCTAATATATCAACGTATCTATGCAATTGTACCGTTTATTTTAAGTATGTACACCACGTTTACTTCTGCTCGTTTCATTGCTTCCAGGTCACAAATACTATCAAAATGCTAACATTTTCTAAATGTTGGAGACCTTACAGTTTACAAAACTGGGCTGAGAAGTTTGTCAAAAACTGCCATTGCTGTTTTTTCAGTTGAGCGGAGATTAAATGTTTCCTTGTCTTAACGATGTCCAAGGCACTTTGCCAATACTAAAAAGAAATTTTTTCCTCTGTGAAATATTAGTGCAACTTCAAATTCTAGCACTGTTTTGAAGCAGCTCTTTATGAACCTTTCCTACTCTGAATGTAACTGCAGGCTCACATCCTTAGAATCCAGTTCTATGCTATTATAAAACGGAAGCAAAAGTGTTTTTAGAAATTACCCACTAAAATCAATTACATATTTCTTTGGAGTTTGGCATACACTCCTTGGCCATCATAATGTGATGAAGCCTCCTGGAAACAGACAGAACGAAACAAAAATACAGGATGCTGTTTTCAATCAAGACTTAAGTTAACAAAATGTCGAGATACCTCTGTGAATTTGTTTTGTTTTGCGTAGATTTACCCACTAGTTTCCCCTCGTTAAACTGGTTAATTGGCACAATAAGATAATTTTTCGTTTTATTAGAAATTCTGGCATTATTTGATCAGAGTTTCATACAAAACCATCATATCGGACCAGTAGTCTCTCCTAATTAAATCTTCAGTTGCAATCAAATATGTTTTAGCTTAGCCTACACATCAAATTGGTCAATTTAAATTCGTATTTTTCCCAGCTTTTTGCAAATTTAAGTGATTAAGATGGAAAATAGCTTTAGGACTTTTCCTTAATTCCTTAGTATAGTGACAAATCCAACATTTTCCAAACAATATCACAGTCTACAAATTGCAAAACAGGGCTGAAACGTTTGCCAAAAACTCCAAGGTGGTCTGTCAGTGAAGTGCCGATTTATTTTTTAGGTGTTGCAAGGTAGCTGGGGTATTAGATAAGCCAATGGGTAATTTTTATGTAGGGACAATTCAGTCCCTTTCTTGGCCTTGTCATGCAACTCCACCTGCGATTGAAGTGGACAGCAAATTGGTTGCAGGACACCACTGAATTCTAAGCTGTTCATGTTATTTTATGTGCTGCAGGGTAGCTGGGGTATTGCGTTGAAATGCTATTTATTTTAGGGACAGTACAGTCTTTTCCATAGTCTTTGTCTCCAGTTGCGCATTTAAGTAATCATTCTTGATATGTCAGGTTGAGAAGACACAGTTGAACTTGGCATTGGAGCACTGTGTCCAGTACGAGTTTTTAATGATTGTCCTTCTGAAATGCCGTTATTATTCGACAGGACAATTTCATGAGTGAAGTCTTGGAAACAAAACATCCACAGCCACCAATAGTTGTGTGTTTCTTCTCTCCAAGAAGTTCCCGCACTCTCAACTACCTTAATGGCTTCCATCGCTCCTATGACACTTTTACAAGGATGAGACTATCGTTACGATTTGGAATACTCAATATTGTCGATTATCCACAAGGTAAAGAATGTTTTTCATTTAAGCGGTCTGTTATGAAGCAATCATTAAAATGGATGTAAGAATTTTTGTTTCTCTTTCAATCATTAGTTTAGAAAGATTTGTTAGAAAAAACAGAAACACCACCATTAGAAACTTACCTGGATGACCACCCAAAAATGCCAGTATTTTTTGCTTGCTTATGGTTGATGGTTGTTACAAGGGATTGCAACTATAGTGTCTTGACTAGACGATTTGGACACTTTGAATAAGTAGTCATTTATGAGCAATTAAAGTCGCAGATCGAGTTTGGCTCTCTCCTTAAGTGACAGTAGGTATAATCTGTATTTCTATGGATTTATACTTAAAAAGCTTCTTGTATAGAAAGATGCTAACTCCTTTGTCAGAGAAATCCGATAGCCAGCTCCAGCTGTTCCTCAGTACATATGACATTTTTGTTGTCTATATTTTCTGCAGTAATCTCAAGGTATGTCAGTGCATCAAATGTGTATGCAGTGCCATTTACTGTTGCTTTTTGGCAAGAGAGAGGGTCAACTACACAAAGTGAGTACAAAATTGTTTAAGCAAGTCTTTCTTTCTAAAAAACGGTTGAGATTCATGATTAATTTTTTGCCTACAAAATTGTTTGTACAACCTAAATCAAACATTTCAAGTACTCCGTAGCAGCAGCATGATTAACAAAGGGCAATTAAGACCTTTTACAACTTTAAAAAGCCTACAATGAGTGGTTGAAAATCTTGAACCTTTTATTTCAACAAACAGAGTTTGTAATGAAACAGCAAGTGTTCGATAAAGATGTCCCTACTCCTCTACTGCTGTACGACTTTCTACAGAAGTTATCTGTTAACCTGATTCCATCCACACCTTCAGATGATGATGAGAATGAAGATTACAACCCATGGAGAGAAAGCAAAGACTCGAGGGTACCTAGAAATAAAATGAGAAAATAGTATAATTTGCTCATAATTGCCCAAAGTATTAGCTTCAGAACTAAATATTTTAGCAGGCTCTCAATTTTTTGCCTGTTGACAGTCTGACATATGAAGAAATACATTATGTTTCAATCATGTCGGGACATTTCTTTTGAACTCCATTTTTCTTGCAGTGTATGTCCAGCGTGATACATATGGTATTTTAATAGGATATTCACGACGAAACAGTGACATTATGATGACATTATGTTTTCTTGATACTAGAATGTGTGCTATTTTGAAGTAGCCAGAGATGTCTGTGTTAGGGAGGATAACAGCACTCTTGCAGGCTTGACAGGGTTTGAGCAGAATAGTCTGGTGTATGGACCAGCATTAACACCTCCTTCATGGCATACTAAGGTGGGTCTGGGTCTGAATTAGTAGTTAAAGCAGCAACTTGTTTCCTGGTGCAGGAACTGGACTAGACATTGTTGGGACCTTTGGCTAAACTGGGTGAGTCTCTTTGGGTTGCCTGTGGCTAAACTGGGTGATCCTTTTTCGGCTTGCTGGGGCTTAACTCGGTAAGTCTCCTTGGTCCGCCTGCGACTCAACCGGATTAGTCTTTTTGGGCTGCCTGGGGCGAAACTTTGTAAGTTTCTTTGTGCTGCCAGTGGCTTAACTGGGTAAGTCTCGTTGGGCTGCCTGTGGCTAAACTGTGTTAGTTACTTTTTAGCTGTCTTTGGCTAAACTGGTATGCTCATTGGGATGCCATTGGCTTTATTCGTTAGGCACCTTGAAATGTTTATCGATATTAACGACCACATTCAAATCCTGCTGCTTATCAACCACAATATAAAAATAGCAAAGTTATTTTAGACAGTTAAGTCAAGTGTGGGGAAAAACTAAAAGTCATTACAATAGGTTAGTTCTGAGAATTCAATAGGTTAGTTCAGTTGGGAGAGCGCCGGTCTGCTGAGCGGGAGGTCACGGGTTCGAACCCCGGCCGGACCAACAGGGTCTTTAAATAACTGAGAAGAAAGTGCTGCCTTTGTAATGACATCTGCAAACGGTTCGACTTTCTAGTCTTCTCGGATAAGGACGAAAAACCGCAGGTCCGGTCTCACAGCTCTTACACTTATCTGGTTCTTGTGGGACGTAAAAGAACCCACACCACTGCTCGAAAAGAATAGGGGACGTAGACCCATGTGTTGTCACTGTTGTGGTCAACCTTCACACATCACATCATTCACATCATGGGTTGGGTGGGTACAGCAAGCTCACAAATGGGCTGAAAGCGGGTGCCAGTGGCGCCTTTGTATGCTGACGTCCGAGCTGACTGTTCACATGTTAAAATGTATTGCAAGAGAGCACGTCTGGATGGATGGATGGATAGATAGATTGATTGATTGATTGATTGATTGATTGATTGATTGATTGATTGATTGATTGATTGATTCAGGGACCGCGGAGGGGGAGGGGCTGGTAGGGCCGCGGCCCCTCCACTTTTTTGCGCCCCCGCCCCCACTTTTTGCGCTAAAAAGAAAAATAATTAAAATTAAAAAAAAGACTTGAAACAAGTTTTTTTCCGTCTATATTCCGCTATATTCTCTGTATTTTCTTTAATTTCAAACGCCAGGAATTTTGTGGGGCTCCTGTGCTTTTCGCGGTAATTGTGCTGGGGCCGACTTGCCCCTTGATCAAACGCCATGCCTTGGCAATTGCCTTGGCCACCCCTTCGCTTCGTTCGGCAGCGTGTTTTGTAAATCCAGCTCCGGCAGAGTTTTTTATCAGTTTTATCAGACGAAATGAAGATTATTACTAGCTTTTTCAAGTCAAACAAAGGTGAGTGGTTGTTTTGAGTTGATAAAAGTTTTATGTTTTGTCTTTCTCCTTTCGAATCAATGAAATATTCGATGGCAGGAAGAATTGCATTACTTGAACAGTGAACGGCCATAGGCCTATTGCATTTAAAGCCCGTACCCCCCGGTTGAGGACTTACCTTTTCATCTTACCCCTTAAGATTGGCTAAAATTGCATTCACCCCTGAAGACTTCCGTAAAATATGGGTTTACCCCTGAAGAATTGGGTCATACCCCTGAAGAATTTGGGTTTACCCCTGAAGAATTTTGTGAAAATTAAGGCTTCACCCCCAAAGAATTCCATATTTGTTTACTCTATATCTACCCCTAAAGAAATCCTCAATTTTTATAACTTACCCCTGGAGAATTCCATGGTTCCTCAACCGGGGGAGGGGGCGGGGGGGGGGGGGGG